ACAACCTTAACCATCGCACTTCCCCCACTTCAAGCCTAGTTCATCAAATGATGGCCTCAGCAGCTCCCTAATTTTTTTTTCCCACTAATTTTCTCACGAGAAATGTCCTCACCATTTGAAATAACTCCACTTGTGAAAGGTTCAGAATCATCTGGATTGTCCCTGGGAATAGTCATGGTGTTTCTGGTCAGAAAATTAGGGGAGTCTTTGGTAGGGTCGTTTTTTAAAATTTTTTCCTGTATATATTTCACTGAACCATCTCACTGCTTCCTGAATCTGCCTGTCAACTTTAGCAAAGTGATCAGCTTTCGGGTCCACGTTTTCAAGCAGCTGAAGCCGCTGATTTAGTTTAGAAAACACTCCAGCTCCTCCTTTCAATGTCAAATGTTTTGACAATTTCTCTCCTTCCTCTTCCTCATTTTTTCTTTCTTCTTCAACATTTCTTTCATCTTCAAAATCCATTAAGTGCTTGTCTTGGATCGAATTGTGTCCTTCCAAAATATGTGTCAAATGATTGGGCCACGATCCCCAGAGTTGTGTGGTTGTCCTCCATTTTGTGATCAGATGTTATTATACTCGCTTTTCTAAATCCCACCCTCTGTGATGTTAATGAGGCAGGATTAGAGGCAGTTACTTTAAGGAGGCAGGACTCAACTACACGATTAGGTTGTATCCTGAGTCAATCTCTTTTGACCCGGAGTCCCTTCTCTGAGAAACTCCTAGACCCAGGGGAAGATTGACCATGCAGAGCTTATCCCCAGAGCTGACAGGGAGAGAGAGAGCCTTCCTTCCCCTGAGGCTGGCACCCTGAATTTGGACTTCTAGTCTCCTAAACTCTGAGAAAATACATTTCATTTAAAGCCCTCCACTTGCGGTTTTTCTCTTTTAGCAGCAATAGAAAACTAAGAGAGTGCTGATCAGTCAATTTCCCTTCACCGTGATCTATGAGCTGTTCCCCGTTGGCGATCTCAAGCTCTAATATCAGCGTCCTTGCTACATGGACGACGTTTCCACCCATCTCTTCCGTCGTATTATCCCCATCAGAGGCCTCGGGCAAGATCACTTAACTCCTTCAAACTCAACACATGCACTCAACTTTTCTACAGCGTCGCTGTAAGTCGGAATCGACTCGAAGGCAACAGGTTTATGCCAGTCATGAAAATGTCTCCATGATTCCTGTACAGCAGATTTCTAGGGTGATTTGTTTCTGTATTATAGTTGTAAGGGTCGCAGAAATCAGATTCCGTGACTGCTTGGGAACACTATAACGACCATAGTCAGTGAGGGTTCTACTAAAATACATTACAAGCTGCTAGTGATCGGTGTAGGACCTTCGTTCCTCCTCCACAAGCTTACAGCCTCAGGAATTATTCCTCCTCCTGTGTGGCTATCCTGAGAAGAAAGGCCCGACAATCTAATTCTAAAAACTCAGCCATTCCAACGCTATGGAGAACAGATCAACTGTGACACACATGGGGTTGCCATGAGTCCGAAACGACACAACGGCAACTGGCTTTTGACCCTCCCCCTGTGCGTCCTCGGGTCTAGCACTGTGCTAAGTGCTGGGCCCGCGTTCCTTCTTGCTCTTCACGGCAAGCCTGCTGTCCTTGTTTTTGTTTCACTGGCAGGAATTAAAAAAAAGAAAGAAACCCAGAAAATAACAAATTTTGGAGAAGCTGTGGGAGCTTGGACTCTTATGCACTGCCCGTGGGAATATAGAAGGGTACAACCATTTTGGTAATCGATATGGCACTTCCTTAAAAAGCTATAAAAGGAAATATCACAGCAATCCCACCCCTAGGAATACATCCCAGACAAATAAGAGCTGTCACTCGAACAGACATATGCACACCCATGTGCATCGCAGCCCTGTTCACAATAGCAAAATGATGGAGACAACCTAAATGCCCATCAGCAGACGAACGGATAGGTAAAATATGCTACATACCCGCAATGGAATAGTATGCAATGATAAAGAACAATGGTGAATCTGTGAAACATCTCACAACGTGGATGAATCTAGTGGGCATTATGCTGAGTGAAATGAGTCAGTCACAAGACGACAAATATTGAATGAGACCACGAGTCTAAGAATTCAAGAAACGGTCAAAACAAAGAAAAAAGCATTCTCTGACGGTTATGAGGATGGGGAGGGGAGGCAGAGGAAATCACTAAGTAGACAGTAAACAAGAATCGTCTTAGTTGAAGGGTAGGATGACACACAATTCGGGGGGAAGTCAGCACAACTGGACCAAAGCAAAAGCTAAGAAGTTTCCTGAAGACAGCCAAACACTTTGAAGGACAGAGTGGCTGGGGCGGAGGGGTGGGGATCATGATTTCGGGGGACATCGAGGTCAACTGGCATAACAAAGTTTATTAAGCAAATGTTCTGCACCCCACTTTGGTGAGAGGCGTCTGGAGTCTTCAAAGCTTGCAAGCGGCCATCCACAGACATCGATATGTTCCAACCCACTTGGAGCAAAGGAGAACGAAGAATACCAAAGACATAAGGAAAACAGCCCAAGAGACAAAGGGGCCACCTAAACCAGAGACTCCATCAGCCTGAGACCAGAAGAAACCAGACGGCGCCTGGCTACCATCAATGACCGCCCTCACAGGAAGCACAACAGAGACTCCCCGACGGAGTGGGAGAAATCTGTGGTGCAGAACTCAAATTCACCTCAAAACAGCAGACCAAAGTTCCCATCAAAAGACAAATGGATAAGCAAACTATGCTATGTACACACAGTGGAATAGTACACAACAATAAAGAAAAACGATGCATCCTTGAATCATCTGACGACATGGATGAATCTGGAAGGCATTATGCTGAGTGACAGAAATCAATCACAAAAGGACAAATGAGTACTGTATGAGACCACTATTATAAAAACTCGTGAAAGGGTTTTACGAACAGAAAGAAACCATCTTTGATGGTTTCTAGGGAGGGGTATGTGTGGGAAGGAAAAACACTAACTAGACAAGAGATTCGTCTTAACTTTGGTGAAGGGTAAGACAGTACATGGTGGAACCCTGCTGGCGCAGTGGTTAAGAGCTTGGCTGCTAACCAAAAGCTTGACAGTTCAAATCCACCAGGTGCTCTTTAGAAACCATATGGGACAGTTCCATTCTGTCCTGTAAGGTTGCTATGAGTCGGAATCCACTGGACGACAACAGGTTTGGTTTTTGGTTGGTTGCTTTTGAAGACAGCACACAATACCAGGGAGATCAGCACAACCTGACCAAGGTAAGGTCATGGAGGCTTTATATATACACCCGAACTCCCTGAGGGACCAAATTACGGGGCTGACGGCTGAGGACCACGGTCTCGGGGGTCATTAGCTCAATTGGCACTACATAGTGTCAGGGATTGAATTTTGTCCCCCAGAAATATGTGTATCGATTTGGCTAGACCATGATTCCCATTTTTGTGTCCTCCATTGTGTGATTGATGTAATTGTGATGTGTGTTGTAAATCCTAATCTCTGCCTGGTGTTCCGGAGGCAGGATTGGGCCATGTAGGAGAGGATTAGGGTGGAATGTAAAACCCTGTCTCAGAACACATCCCTGATCCAATGTAAAGGCAGTTTCCCTGGAGCGTGTTCTGCATCACCTTTTCTCTTACAAAGAGATCAAAGGAGAGAGAAGAGAGCAGAGAGTCACAGACCTCATGCCACCAAGAAAGCAGCGCCGGGAGCAGAGCACGTGCCCTGGACCCGAGGTTCCCACGAGGAGAAGCTCCCAGACGGAGGGAAGACTCATGCGTCACAAGAACCTTCCTCCAGAGCCGACAGAGAGAGAAAGCCTTCCCCTGGAGCTGCAACCCTGAATTCAGACTTCTAACCTACGAGACTGGACAAAAACCCCGAAAAGATGGCAACCGGACACCCTTCGAACTCAGTATGGAAGTCACTCCTGAGGGTCCCCCTTCAGCCAAAGGTTAGACAGGCCCATCAAACCAAAGGAGACTAAATGAGCACACCAGCCCAGGGGCAAGAACAAGACAAGAAGGCAGGAGGGCACAGGAAAGCTGCTGATGGGAAACCCAAGGTCGAGAACGGGAGGGTGTTGACATGTCATGAGGTTAGCAATCAATGTCACAAAACAATATACGTTATTAATTGTTTAATGAGAAACACATTCACTCTGTAAACCTTCATCTAAAGTACAATTAAAAATCACATCAG